TGTTTTCTCATTTCCATCTCTCCATCTGTCTCTCTCCAGTGAGTGCACCTACCCTGTAGCAATTTAAAAACAAAATAGGATTGAACATCTGTTTTGTTTTCGTTTGAGCTGTAGGCTGCTTGCGCTCACTGGAGAGAGAAAGACACAGATGAAAAGTGAGAAATCACCCCCCAGGGAGGATGGCCATGCTGCAATCCCCTCTCCTCCCTTTTCCTATCGGCATCATGCCTAGCGTGAAGTTTAAGCCACCGAGTCCAGAACTTGAACCACGGTCAACTACATGGGAATCTAGCAATGTAACCATTACACCACCTGCTGGTCCCAGGATTGCCCATCTATTGAAATGGCTGAAATGCTCCAAAAAAATAAAAAAGATAAAAAAGGGACCAGCAGTTGGCGTAATGGCTACGTTGCTGGACTCCCATGTAGTCTACCACAGTTCAAGTTCTGGACCCAGTGGCTTAAACTCACACTGGACACGTGTGCATGCGTGCCCAAGACCCCAAGAGGAGAATGGAGGAGAAGGGATTGCAGCATGGCCATCCCCCTGGGAGGTGATTTCTCGCTTTCTGTCTCTCTCTCTCTGTCTTTCAGGCAAGCGCACGTGCCCTATAGCAAAAATCTCTCCAAAAAAGAAAAAGAAAGAAAAGAAAAAAAGAAAGAAATGGCTGAAATATAAAATAAATAAGTTATAATAGGAAGGAGCTCTCATTCACTGCCAGTAGGATGTATAATGATGCAACCACTCTGGAGGATGGTTTGGCTGGTTTTTGTGGAGCTAAATATAGCCCTATGATATGATCCAACAGAAGACTCCTAGGCATTTAGATGCCTGCTTTGAAAACCTATGAGTACAAGCCAAAAACACCTAGCGTGCAATTATGAACACAGACCTCTTCCTATTGGCCAAATGTCTCAAGACATCAACATCAGCAAGACCCTCACAGGTAAGTGAGCAGCCGAGCTGGAGTATATCCACACAATAGAGTACTACTCAGCCAGAGAAAGGGAAGGCCTGGAAAGCTATGCGAAGATGGGGGTGAGTCTTATGTGCATGTTGCTAAGCAAAGGGACAGTCTGCAGGACCAGCAGATGGCATAACGGTTGCATTGCTGGACTCCCACATGGCTGTCTGCACTTTGAGTCCCGGACCCAAAGGCTTGAATCTCATTCTGGGCCTGTGTGCATGCGTGCCCAAAATCCCAAGAGGAGAACAGAGAAGGGATTGTGGCATGGCCATCCCCCTGAAGGCCGATTTCTTACTTTTTGTCTCTCTGTCTCTTTGTCTCTGTCTGACATTCTGCAAGTGCACTTGCCCTATAGCAAAAATCTCTCTAAAAAACAAATAAGTAAAAATAAGAAGCCAGTCTGAAGGGCCACATACTGTTTGATCCCATTTATATGACTTAAAAAAAAAGGAAAGAGCAAGCACAGAAACCTGCAATCGACAGTGGCTTGTAGGGTGGGAGAGGGTGAGCTGGATGGGGGAGTGCAGATGGGAGGAGGCATCGAAGCTGCCAGGTGGGAGGAGGCTGCCTCTGGTCTGCAAGATCATCACGCTGGGCGTGCAGAAGGCTGGGGTGTATAGAATCAACACACACACAAAGGCAAATTCTCACCCTTCATCACACGTGGAACCATTACAGGACCCATTCTGAGGAAGGTGCTGCTACACGTGGCATTCCAACCAAACCGTGTGCAGAACTGCTCAGTCTGCCCTCAGTAGCAAAGCCGTGGACAGACCCCAGATGTGCATCACTGGACGAGTGGGCAGACAGATATGTGTCCATGCGGGAAACCCTATTCAGCCATAGAGAGCTGAGCACTGGTGATATGGAAGGGCCTCAAAAACCTGGGGCTAGGGGACCAGCAGTTAGCGTAATGGCTATGTCACTGGACTCCCATGGAGTCAACTGCGGTTCGCATCCTGGACCCGGCGGCTTAAACTCACGCCAGGCGCGTGTGCGTGCGTGCCCAGGATCCCAAGAGGAGAATGGAGAAGGGATTGCGGCGTGGCCATCCCCCTGGGGGGTGATTTCTCACTTTCTGTCTGTCTGTCTGGTGAGCGCACACGCCCTATAGCGAAAATCTCTCCAAAAAAAAAAAAAAACCTAGGGCTGAAAGAAAGACGTCAGACACAGAAAGTCACCCAGTGTGTGTCCCCTTACATGAGCTCTGCAAGCAGGTGACGAGAGAGGCAGGGAGCAGGCAGTGGCTGCCGGGGCCTGGGGGAGGCAGAACGGAGACTGCTCGGTGAGTGGGCAGGACGGTTCCCTTCTTGGTGATGGACCTGAGACCTGACGGTACAGGCTGCATACCCCTGACGTGCACATTTTACAACACTTAATTCTATACTATATGACTTTTACCCCAATAAAAAAGAAAGAAAGAAAAGAAAATCCAGTCCCCAGGACAGTCCTCTTCCCACAGTGCCCCCTCAGCCTGGCCTTCAAGTCTCAGCACTGTCCAGCACTGCCCAGGCCTGGCCAACCACCCTCTGGACACGTGTGTGGCATCCACACTGTCCTCTCAGCACCCCGCCCAGTGGCCGTTTCATCACCACAGTCCCAGGTCTCCTCTCTGACACTCTGACGGATACCCCACAATCAGCAAAGGCTCCTCAGGGCTTATGGAGTCTCGCGACCCTTGCCCTGTAACCCAGACCTCGGCCGTGGTTTCCAAGGGATGCCCCATCTCAGTCAGAGGAGTCAGCATTTTCTGCACACGACCCTAGGAGGGGACTTGCTCAGGGGACGTTGTTACTAGGTCACACCGACTCACACCGACTGGGCCAGATGGCTTGTCACAGAGGAAGCCATTTCCTGAGGCCATGAGAATTTGTTTAGAGGAAGGCTGTGTCACAGCAGAGGTCAGCAGGGGCAGCAGCGGAGTCCAAGCTCTCAAAGTACCATCTCCAAGACCAGCAGGTGGCATGGTGGCTGTGTCACCAAACTCCCATGTAGTCGACCGCAGTTCAAGTAACAGAATCAGAGATTCAAAACTCACTCTGGGTGCGTCTGCGTGCGTGCCCAAGATCCCGAGAGGAGAAAGGAGGAGAAGGGATTGCGGTGTAGCCATCCCCTAGGGGTGAGTGCTCACTTTCTGTCTGTCTCCAGGAAGTGAGTGTGCTCTATAGTGAAAATCTCTCTAAAAAGGCATCGTCTCCATAATGGAGGAGCAGACAGGGCTTTTAACCCTAAGGCAGGGAGGGTCTCTGTGCCGTGGGAGTCTGGGGCTTCCCACAGACAGTGCCATTTTCTGGTGCTAGGCTATCAGTACTCCAGAGATGTTACCTGCATCTGTTTTGGATGGGAAACTCAAGACAAAGAACGCTTCGGACACCGAGCTCTCCTCTGTCGGGGTACCTCATCTTTCCAACATGCTGCCCGTGTCGGCTGGGGCTCCCACCGCCCAGTCACTGCAGGCCATAACAGTCAACTGCAGGTGGTTTTGTCTGGTTGGCAGGGAAAGGCTTGCGCTCAGCACTCGGTGTGAGGTAGGGCACCTGGGACCCTTGGCATATCTCACTTCCATCTGGTAGATGTTACATTTAAAACTAAACAAAGAAAACTTGCTTTTTACTTCTCAAGGGCCTGATACCAAACTCAGGTGTGTGGCTAGTCCCACGTGCAGGGGGGATGGCAAGGTTCAGGTGGGGAAGGGCTTCCTGACAATCACACAGATGCCAAGAGGTTTCATACTCAGGTTCCCGCCCAGAGCCAAGTCTCCAGGTGCCACCCAGAGGAAGTCTGTTCCCTGGCCACGTGGAAGAGGGGTCCCAATGTGGGGGTCACTTATCTGGTCATCAAGTGGCCCAGGTCCCACGTGAAGCCTCATGGGCCTTGCATATCGCTATAAATACACCAGCATGGGGCTCCCAGAGGTCAGCTTCAGGAAGTGGATTCACGCTAGTGTTTTTAGACTCGGTTAGCACTCAGGATGCCTGCCCCTCACTCTGTCCACTCCTCCCACTCTGTGGCCTGCCTCACCCCACTGACCAGGATCCAGCCACACTGAGGGTCCCCACAAAGGCTTGGTGTCTCTGCAGGTATGTGGGAGTGAGGGGTGCCTCTGAACCAGAGGGGTTTTGCCGCTGGGAGCCTGGGGCTTCCAGGACTTCTTTCTGCTCAGGGGACATGAGAACCCCCAGGAAAGGTGCCCTGTGGCTCAATGCCCAGAGACAAACTGCCTCTGTTTTACCTTAGCCTTGAAAACTTCAGCACCCACACCACTGAGAGGCCTCGTTGCAGCCCTCCCTGAGCAGAGGACCCAGCACCATCCCTGACCAGCAATCACCCACACCCACCATCTGCCTGGGACAGCCAGGAAGGAGATGAATCCTCCTGGGAGGGGCCGTGGTGCCTGGGGCCTGCAGAGGTCACTGGCCAAGGCAGGGGCCCTGCTGTAGGCTGAGTCCTGCCCCCACACTCCTGTCAAACCCTGAGCCCAGCAGCTGTGACTGTGGCCCTGGTCTTTGCAGATGGTCAGGTCTAGAGGAAGACATCAGGGGCCCAGCCTCAGTGGTTCAGATCATCGTGCTGACCTGCAGTTCCGGGAGCCATGAGACCGCTATGGGTTCAAAGCGCAGGCCAGCCTGAAATGCAGAGAGCATGTGTGCCCAAGCCCCAAAGGGCTGGAAGGCTGGGCAGGTGTCGACGTGGACAGGCCCTGAGGAGGGCGCCTCCCTTACAATTGAGAAAAAGTAAAGACAGCATCATTAGAGTCATTTTTTAATCACTGTGATTGTGTCCTTGTAAAAATGAGACATTTTGACACAGAATGCACACAGAAGGCACGGTAGTAAAGGTGCTAGATCCCCACATGGTCAGCTGTATGGTTCGAGTCCCAGATCTGGCAACTTGAAAATCACACCAGGCGCATGTACCTGTGTGCACAAAATACTGAGAGGGAAATGGAGGAGAAGGGGTCGTGGTATGGCCATCTCCCCAGGGGTGCTTTCTCACTTTCTCTCTCTTTCCCATGAATACACGTGCCCTACAGGAAAAAAAAAAAAAAAAAGGAAGAAAGAAAGAAAAAAGAGAAAAGAAAAATAGATGAGAGTTCTGCTGTCAGAAGGCAAGAACTAAGCAAGCTGGAGAGAGACCTGGATGGCCTTCCCCTAACGCTTTCCAAGGGAGCACAGACTGAGCCAAGTCTCTGCTATCCTGACCTGCCCAGTCTGAGGAGTCATCCGGGCACGTCTGGTCCACTCACTGCTCTCTAGACCATAGCCGCCTCCTCGGGTCCACCCTGCTAGAGGGTGAGGGGCGGAAGCAGGGCCCTTCAGAGGCCACAGCCACTGTTACACGGTCACTCTCAGCCCTGACTGGGTGCTCTGGCTGCAGATCTCAGCCTCCTAAGCCAGTGGGAAGATAAGGATGAGGTTTGGGGGTCAACCTCCCTGGAGCTGTCAGAGCCTCCACCTGCTGCCTCTGAAGCCCAGAAGCCCCAGCTGGCCACACCTTCACACCTGCCCGGTCCCTTCTCCCACACATGAGCGGTTTAGACCTCCACCGTGTCCCTTCAGTCTCAGTCAGTAGGAAAGGTGCCCAGAAAAGGACGGGCTGCTGGCCCTGGCCCCTCAGCTGTGTGTGCGGGTCCCAGGGTGGCTCTTGAAGGGGCTGAGGGCAGAACTGGCTGTGGAGCATGCCTTTCTCAGAGGGGACAGGGCAAGTGGAGAGGAGAAGAGCCAGGCTTGGGGAGCAGAGGCCCCTCCCTCCAGGTGCAGAGCAGCGGGTGAGGAAGGGCTCCTGGCCTTCACCAGCAAGACCCCTTCACAGAAGCCCCAGTGCCCGCCCACGCCAGGGGTCAGCCCAGCAACCTTAGTTCGACTCCCCACAGGAAAAAAAAAATAGGCATGATGCAGCTGGCTGAGTCAGGGTTTGGGAACGCTCAGGCCTGAGCTCACTGTCTGCAGGAAGGAGGCTGTCGCCCCGGAGACCCTCATGCAACCTGTTGCACGGGGTCTTGCCTCAGACTGTGGCCAGATCCCACACAGGTGCCTCCGTGCTGGGGCTCCAGGTCCTGCTGGTCACAGTGAAGGACACAGGCCACGGCTGGGACGGGCCCAGGGCTCTGCGTGTTTCCTGGGAGGGCTGTGGGGCTCCCTACTCCATAGCAGCCCACGACACAGTAGTCGCCGCTGCCTCCCTCTGAGCCAGGTGGAGCCGGCCTGGGGCGGGGCGCGGGGGCCCAGTCCTCCTGTGGCAGGTAGACAGAAAGCTGCCCCCTTGGCGGCACACGCCCTGCTGGCAGCACCTCCTCCGAGCTCGGGGCCCCCGGGAAGCTAGTGATCTTCCCCTCCTCTGGGCCTAATGGTGGCCAGGGAAGGGCTGGGCCAAATGTGAGCAGGGCAATGGCCTCCCAGACTCCGGTCTCCAAGGTTCCTTGCGGGGTGCCGATCTGGTCCTGGCTCTGCTGCAGACCAGCCCTGTGGGCCCCCGTCCAGACCTGGAAGAGCATGAAGAGGAGGGAAGTGCTCAGGCAGCTTGTTCAGGACCTGCCTGGGAGGCCCAACCTCCCTCTTCCTCCAGGAAGCCCTCCTGGCCGTCCACACCCAGAAGCCACACAGACCTATGCCGGAACATTCTGCCCTCTCCCTGTGCCCGCCCAGCTCTGCACTGGACGCCTTCACTGCTCTCCCCACTCAGGGCCTAGTACTCAGGTGAGGGCATACACAGGGACAGACAGAGCTCTGACGGCCTACAGCCCCAGGGCCTAGCAGCAGACACGGGGACTGGGTACCCCAACCCGAGCCCCACCTACTCATACAGGAGACACCACTGGTGGCCTTAGGCCACCAGACCTAGACCCCTCAGAGGGGCCATGGGAGGCCCTACCTCCAAAAGGAAGGAGTCCCCGAGATGGGACCAGAAGCTTCCACAAACGCACCACCCCACACCACCCCTCATGACTGTGCAGACCCTGCAAAGCCAGCCCCTGGCTCCAGTCACCATTCGAGTATCTGAACGATCCCTGGCAGGTGACCCAGTTTTCTAGGAAAGGGGTTGGGTGCCCAGAGCAGAGATGGCACTGCTGGGGCCATTCACAGTCTGGCCTGCCAGCCTCAGTCCTCAGCTGCCTGGTTCCTGAAAGTCACATCCACAGGGCACAGAGGTGGGCTCCACCAGGAACCACATGCTCTGTTTAAGCTTCAAATTATATTTTTGGAAGAACCTTATAGAGGAGGAGAGACTGACAGGAACGTGGGAGGCTAGGACGGGTCAGGGCAGGTGTGGGGGGAAGGGCTGCTGAGGAACAGAGCCATGGCGGCAGCCCCACGGCGGAGGCACAGGGAGAGCCCGGGGCATCGCCCGCCCATCAGGGGAACAGTGGGTCTGCGTGTCTGCACACTCCGTAAACTCCGTAATGGGCTCGCTGATGATCCTGGCCAGTCACTACACACTGTCTTCGAACTGAAAAAAGTCACATTCTACCCCACAAGTATGTACAATTAGTATGTTAATTTAAGGGTTTTAGTTATATTTTTGAACAACAATCTTGAAAAGTAGAGACCTTGCTGAGAGAGAAGAGGATTTTTCTGCATAATAAGCTGAAGTCACAGTGCAGAGAGGACATCCCACGCCAGGCAGGGAAACCCTGGGACTGCAGGAGGCGAAAAGCAGGGGTCAGCCTGCCCCAGGCCCAGAGAGGAGCCCAGGACCCACTCTTGTCTTCTGCCCACAGAGAGGAACTGGAGGGGAAGAAACGAGACCATCCCCTGAGCCGTCCCTGTCCCTCCCTCTGCCTGAAGGTGAAGGCCAGCCCAGCAAGTAGGTGGGGGTCTGCAGGGGCACCGTGGCCACCTCCATGTTGTTCTTGATGGCCATGGCCCACGGACCCCAGCAGGGCACCCCGAAGGGGGAAATGCTGGGTCCCCATCAGCCATGGAGCCAGGGGGCTGTGGGGAAGCCGGGAAGGCACACTCCACTGTGGTCTCCTGGGCAGGAGCTCAGGGGGCCAGGGAGGCCCTAAGCTGAGCAAACCCCAGACTCCTCCCCACAGCCGTGAACAGACACCTTCAGGGAAAGTGGCAAGGGACAGGGGTAGGGTGGGGTGGAAGCAGATGGCCTGAGGGGCTGTGAGCAGAGGCAGTGAGGCGTGAGGGAAGGTCACACTTTGTCTGTCTCTAGTGGAACTGGTGAGGGTTAGGGTTAGCACGTGGGCTTTACCCACATGAGCCTAACTTTAAACTGTATGTACAAAAAGTTCGAGGCCCTGACAAGGTCCCCACGCTGCACCCGGTCCATCAACACTGATGTTCTGGCCAAGCCAGCTCTCGGGGCAGTGCCTGCACCCACGCCCTGCAGCTCTGCACACACCTGGAAGTCCCCGCGGTGCACACTGTAGAGAGGCTGGAAGAACGCCGCTGGGGAGGGCACGTTCTGGTAAAAGCTTCTCTTCACCCTGAGGCCAGGAGGGGACAATCAGAGGGACCTGGCAGGTGTCCTAGAGGGCAACCCACGAGCCTGAGGTCACTGCTCCCCCCTCCTGCCTCCTCCCTGCTGAGGCGATCACCCTCTCACTGCATCCATTCCCAGGCTCAGGAACAGACTCCACTGGGCCCCGTGGTTCCCTGGCTAGCGGTCCCACAGCACAGGTTTGCACCGAGGTACAAGCAGGCAGTGTGACCAGCTGCAGCCATGCTGTCGGCTGACAGACAGCCTGCAGCTCCCTGTCCCACCGACAGGACAGCAGGCTCCAGCCCCACAGGTCGGCATCCGCCTCGTGACCCTCCCGGGAGTCCCACCCACGCATTACAGGCAGGGCCTTCCACTGTGCCCCCTTTCCACTCCCAGCTCCCACCTAACCGCCTCTCCATGGCTGCCACCCACCCTCCCAAGTCTCCCGTACCCACTTGAGCCCTAGCAGGCCATTCTCCACCCACAACCAGGCCACACCACACGCTAACACTCTTCAAGGACTCTCCTTGGCCCCGAAAAGAAGTCAGGAGCCCCCAGCCAGCCCCGTGCAGCCCTCTCCTCGCCTTCTAGCTCACTCTGTACAACCTCCCCTCTCTTCCTCCGCGTTCTGTCCATACCTGGCAGTCTCCTCTGGGCCCTCTCCGGGGCCTGTGCCCTGGCACGTGAGGCCTAGATCCTAAGGAGGGTCCTGTCTAGTTCTCTGTGCATCTGCCAGGCTGAGGACAGGGCCCGTGTGCAGCACGTGCCCACGGCTGTCCAGACTGCGTGGCTGGGTCAGTGAGCCACCACAGCCTCTACCACTGGTTCCAGTGACCCTGGGTCCCTCCACAGCTCCAGTACTGGCCAAAGCAACCCCTTCTCTCCTCGCCCCTGACATCTGAGAACCCCTCACTGGTCTAGAGCAGAGAACTGGAGACCCTGCACACCCAGGGTGAGATAGTGGAGAGGGGAGGCAAGCAGCACACTCACACGTGTGCACACATGCACACGCCTCCTACCTGGGGGTCAGCTTGAATAGGAGGTAGATCAGGCCGCTCAGCAGGAGAAAGAGGGACATGGCAATCAGGGTGCTGTCTGGCCTCCCCCAGGATGGAGTCGGAGGGCCTACGGGCCAGAGGGGTGCAGGGCTGTGAGCGGCGCAGTCGGGGCTTCCTCATGTGGCAAAGGGGCCCCAGTTAATGGCCTCAGCCAGAGTGGAAAGGACAGCGAAGGGCGTCAGAGACCTGTCATCCGTGAAGCGCCTGACTCGCTGCCCAGGCTCGCTCCTCGCATGCAGTCTCAGAGCCTCTGCGCACCCTGGACACTGGCAGGCCCCCCCCCAAAGAGGCAGCCCCCCGCGGGCGGCC